AAAGTGAAGGTGCTTGAATCAAGATGCTGCATCTCAGTCCTTGCATTTTTTTCCAGTAGTGCACCATGTGTAGTTCGCACACTTCAAATCAAAATTGCACTCAGCCCCAGATTCTACCAGCCAGCAAGGCTGCAAAATGGACAGGAGGATTTAATTACCTTGTTTTAATTGCTTTTCTGTGGCTATAGAGTAAAGCTTTAAAACATCTAAGAGGTTTTTCTGTCTTCCTGTGAAATCTCTTCGCACAACTTGCTCTAGGGAAATGGTGAAAATCTTACTCATAGTAAAGGACCTTTTGCCTTGGCAGTATTAGAAGTCTACATTGAATGTCATGACTGCAGATTCATCTGTGTGGTCTAGAGAAGGTGTTTAAAGTTTGAAACTTACTGGAGCTGGGGATTGAGCTTAGCAGCATAAGCGCCTGCCTGGCAAGCACGAGGTCATCAGTTCAATCCTGGTACACCCCCCAAACCCCAGAAACCTCCATGGTGTTTTTCTTTTTCTTTTTTTTTGAGATAAAGTCTGTCTATGCAGTTCAGGCTAGCCTTGGGTTCACTTTGTAGCCCAGGCTGGTCTGGAAATCACAACAATCCTCCTGCCTCAGCCTCCTGAGTGCTAGAATTACAGGCGTGAGCCCCCCGGCTTTACATAATGTTTTTCACAAAATGAAATTATTCAAATTCTTCACAGAGCTTGATGCTGCATTGGAGGACAATGTTTTTAATAACACTTTGTAGAGATTTAAGACAGCTAGTGTTTTGGTAAACTTACTAACTCTAATTTGTGTGAGCCATATAATGGATGTTCAGTTTATCTCTTCCTTACATACTATTTTTGGCCTCATCCAAAGAAAGAAGATCATAATCATCCAGAAAAGAAATTCTAGGGAGGGTTTATTTGCTATGAATGAAGAAGATGCAGATCTTTCCTTTTTGGCTCTAAAGTTTGGAGATGCTGTTTTTTACTCTGATTCCAGCACGCTGCTCCTAGCTGCATATTCCTCATACTGATTCTCTGTCTATCCAGCGACTCAGGCGTACGTGGGTCTGTGCGGAACCGTAGAAGCCAGTTCCCAGCATTCCTGAAGGCAGCCTTCTCTGTGGACCGCTGTGTAGGCTTACAACTTAAGGATCTGCAGACAGAACTTTTAGTGACTGAAGTATAGCTGACTCCTGCCCCTGCCTGTCCAGATCCATAGTTGGCTGTCCACTGTTGCAGTTAACTGTGGTCCAAAAATACTGAGTAGAGCCTGGGGTATAACTCGGTGGCACAGTGCCCACTCTAGCAATTGCAAGGTCCCAAGTTTGATTTCTGGTATGGGAGGGTGATTGCGACCAAAAATACTGAGTGAAAAAATTACAAAATAATACAGAGATTTTAAATAACTTACTATAGAAATTATTATTGTTCTGTTTCATTCATATTGCTACTCTTAGTGTGCCTGATTTATAAATCAAATATGGTCATAGGCACAGATGAATAGAAAAACCCTTTGGTTTAGAGTCCCCTGCCACCCTGCTACAGGCATGCTGGGATCTTGAAAAGTGTCCCTTAGGGGTAAGAGGAGGCTTCTGGAGTTCTCAAAGGTATAAAGCTCCTGTTTAGTGTTTTCCAGATGAGAGTCCTGGCGGCAGAAACAGCGCTATCTTCCTGCTGCAAGATTTGGCAGGCTCCCTCCGCAGAGGCTGCCTGAGCAGCCGGCAGGGCTAGGCACTCTGAGAATACGTGAGGTTTCCACCCTGAGAAAGACAGAAATAGTCCAGCAGATTAAATGAAAGAACCCATAGTGGTAGGAAGGTCCGATTATCAGTCTAGTGTGGCAGCTTCTGCAGGAGAGCATGTGATGCGATCCATGCTGTGCATGAAGTGTGAATGCAGGACCTCTTTCCCCGTTAAGCACCTCACTGGCTGTTCCACTGCAAGGTGCCCTCTCCAGTAAACCACGCAAGCACAGCCACACATCCAGCAGGTCACCCAGAGACAGGGATGTCATCGGTCTCCACAAGTAACACTTTATCCACTCAGTTCACTTCTGGAGTTGGCCTTGGGTTCTTATGGTGCTTATGGTACCATAAGTATTCCTAGTATTTGGGGAGCTGAGGCAAGAAGAGGAGGACTGTGAGTTAGAGTCCAGCCTGGGCCACGTAGTGAGACCCTTTCTTTAAATAAATAGTGAAAATTGAGGTGCTGCAAGGCTGAGAGAGTATCTCGAGGTCACAGGCCTTGTGAGTAGAGAGCTGGAATTTGAATGTCTGCAGCTTGGGTCAGTTTGTAGTTTTTTCCACACTTCCTTTTAATTATCTCAGGTACTATCATCACTTCGTACTTTAAATACCTAAACTGTTCCCTGAGATTTGTATTAGAAATTTACGATTTGAGGGCCAGGGGTTTAGCTGAGTGGTATAAGTACCTGCTTGGCAAACTCAAGGTCGTGAGTTAGATCCCTGGCACCAAAAAAGAAAGAAAGAAATTTATGATTTGATCAATCTGACTTCATTTCAGATTATCACCAAAAGTGTGCTTTTTAAATTGACTAGATGAATATTCTTAGACTGGGATTTAGCTCAGTAGCACAAGCACCTGCCTGGCAAGCATGAGGTTGTGAATTGAATGAATCCTTAATACCTTCCCCCATCCCCAAATCTCTCCTCCTACTCTGGTTTTGGGTTATTAAAGGTTCTTATTCTAGAACTTGGCAAATAACTACTCTTTTCGATATTAGGCAAGGAGCTGGGGGATTTAGCTCAGCAGCATAAGCACCTGCCTTGCAAGCAGGCGGTTGTGAGTTCGATCCCCAGTACCGGGAAAAAAAAATATATATAGAATAGATATTAGGCAAAGTATGAGAGCTCTACTTTTATGTCTTCTTGTACCTCTGTAAGAAGGCTCAGGCCGGGGGCTGGGGATTTAGCTCAGCGGCATAAGCGCCTGCCTTGCAAGCAGGCAGTCGTGAGTTCGATCCCTGGTACCGATAAAAACGAAAAAGGCAAAAAAAAAAAATTAAAAAAAAAAAAAAAAAAAAAGAAGGCTCAGGCCTGTATTTTTCCCTGCTGCATCCCAGAGCCTGGTACCTTACCTGGAACAGGGAGACCTTGTACTAACACAGGGCTGAGTGAGGCCGGACAGACTGTGATGAGAACAGGTCCAAGTCTGCCCAGGGACATGGCAGAAGGCATTCACTTACTTACTCTTCACGTATTTTTTTTTTTAAGCGGTACTAGGAATCGAACTCATGACTGTGCACTTGCAAGACAGGCTCTTATACTGCTGAGCTAAATCCCCGGCACCTTCACATATTCTTTTATTCATTAATTTAACAAGTGTTTATGGAGGATCGCCTTGTGCCACAGACCATGTTAACACTCGATCTCCAAGTTTCAGCCACAACTGCTGCTTGTGTCAGAGGACCAGAGAGCAAAAAAGAGGCAGATTGGCAGTGAGGATTTTGGAGGGACTGCTGTGGCTTGGCTGTGCAGATTGACAAGGTCTCTGGCTGTGGTTTCTGTTCATCATTTGCTCCTTGAGACTCAGCTCAGCTCATAGAAGTGGGCTGAGTCCTTCACGAGGGGAGAGGCAGTGGTGCCATCCGTGCCTGGGGTGAGAGGATGTGGGGCTGAAGGCTGCTGTTTCCATGAATGCCAACTAAATCACCAGCATTCAGTTCCAGATTTACTTTATAGACTCTCCTACTTTAGGCCTGTAAATGCTTTGAGTGAATCATTGCAGTTAAAAACCTTAAATGCAGGGGCAGGGTATTTAGCTCAGTAGTATAGTGCCTGTCCGGCAAGAGTGAGATCCTGAGTTCAATTCCTAGGTCTCCCCCACCCAAGAAAAACGATTAAATGCTAAAAGGAAAGAACATAATCTAGTAAGAGCGGAGACTGCTTGGGGAGCAGGGGACACATGCAGGCAGCCTCCTGGCTGGAGCTGAGCCTTGGCAGTAGCGCTGGAGGTGCAGGGTGGTATGCAGGCATAGTGGACCTTCCTGTGCTGTGGTTTCTTTGTCTACAAAGTGTGTGTCAATAGTTTCAGTCCCGGGGGCTAGAGATTTAGCTCAGCGGCATAAGTGCCTGCCTTACAAGCAGGCAGTCATGAGTTCGATCCCCGGTACCGATAAAAAGGAAAAGGACAAAAAAAAAAAAAATAGTTTCAGTCCCCTACGAGGACATAGGAGAAAAGCTGAAGAAGACACTTGAGTACACAGCGCGCCTGAGCACCATGTCAGGACACATGTTCGCCAGATGTTAGCTCTGTGGTGTTTGGTGCTGTTTCTGTTATTGCCAGAATGCTCTCTCTGTTAGCTTTCCACTATGGTAACGGATACCTGAGATAAAATTAATAAGGAAAGACTCATTTTGTGTTTTGTTTTAGTTTGCTTTTTTTTGGGGGGGGGCAAGGATCAAACTCCTAACTTTGTGTTTGCCAATCAGGCACTTATAGCATTGAGCTAAACCCCCAGCCCTATTCCTTTTTTGAGAAAGATTTTCACTCCGTTCCTTGTGCTAGCTTTGACCATGTGACCCTCCTGGCTCAGTTTCTACGTGTGTGCTCCCATGCCCAATTGAGGAAAGGTCACTTTGGCTTACAGTTCCAGAGGTGTTAGTATATGGTCCCTTGGCCACTGCCTCTGTCACCTCCTGCCGGGAAGCCGAGGGAGGGGGAAGAGACCAGCAGCTAGTGTTGCACAGGCCTCCCAGAGGGTGTACCCCAGTGACCTGAGGCCCCCGCTACGCTCCCCCACCTCTTCAGTGGCTCCGCACTGAGGGCCAAACCTCTAACTGACGCATGGGCCTTTGAGAACATTGCAGACCCACCAAGCGCTCTCCGCAGAGGAGCTGGAGCTGGGGAGACTGCCTTGCCAGTAAGTGATCTGCAAGTCTGTGCCTTCATTGCACGCCATCCACCCGAGAGTGTGGCCGTAGCTAGGACTTAGCTTTTATCTGTCAGGCTCGGTTCTGTTACTCGGTGGTGTTAACTGACGGGAATCATTGTTGTCCTAGCTACATGAGAGCAGTTATGATGCTGGCAAAGCCCTGCAGCGCCTGGTGAAGAAGCCTGTGCCCAAGTTGATTGAGAAGTGCTGGACCGAAGATGAAGTGGTGAGTTGACTGCAGCCTTACTTGGGGCATTGGGGATTCCTTTCCTAGTATCTGACCTCTGCTCTGCTCTGGGACAGGGCTCACTCAGAGGATGGGGTGGCCCTGCCCTGTCTCAGTCCAAGAGGAAGAGACCTGGAGGCCTCGTGATTGTACAGAAAGACTTGGTGTGTTAGTAAAATTAGTTTCCATAGATGACAGGAAAGATTTCCCCAAGTTTCATGGGGAGGAGTAAGTGATAGTTACTTCCAAAAATGTTGGGTTTAGGAGCTGGAGATTTAGCTCAGTGGCACAAGCAATTGCTTGGCAAGCTTGACATCATATGAGTTTGACCCCTGGTACTAAAAATAAATAAACATGTTGAGCTTATTGGTGCGAGCTAGCTTGTGGTCCCACACTACTTCAAGAGACAGCGTGTTGAAGCCATTTTACCCATCACCTAGAGTAGCTTTGGTGATGCTTGCAGAATTCGTAATGTACTGAAGGCCGCTGATCAAGAGCGGGGCGCATGTACTTGATTAAATAAACACGGTGGAATTCACTTAGCCATTCTATTGCTGTGCCCCAAAAAGGTGTGGGGAGAGAGAAAGATGCCCACAAACACAGAGCACTAGCAAGCCTGCGGGGGGTTCCCTCTAGCAGACAGGGCTCATGAAGCTACATCCCCATCTTGTGACTTTGCAGAGGTATTGCTGAAATGGCTTTGTGCTTTCTTGTGCTTCTCCAAGTGCAGTTTTCAGTTGAATATTTGAAGGGCACTTGATATTTGCCCTTCAAATCAGCTGAAGGCTGGTACCCGTGCACACACTGATGAATGACCAGTCCTCGTGTGGTGGTAAAGCGTGGCCGAAGAGCGCTCGCGTTGTGCTGCTTTTCTTGGTCTTGCTTGTCTTCTGTGCAGCCGCGTTACCAGGGGCCCGTTACGTGCTGGGCACTGACTAGGACCTGTTCCAGGGCAAACAGGTCTCCCCGAATGTCTCCTGTGTTGAGACGGGCTGTCTTGTTGTTCTCTGGGTACAGTGGGCACAAGTGGTAGGGAAGGCAGGGTGTGTCGTGCCGCTGGGCGCTGTCTCAGGCACGGGCCTTGGTGAGCCGCGGAGGGCCGCCCGCCGTGCTCTAAGCCAGTAGCGGCCTGCTTCCCAAGGTGGAGGTGTTCTTGGCACATGCAGGGGGCAGGCAGGGCCATGGGGGCCACTGTGAGGCGTGGAGGGGCACGTTGGCCTGGGGCCGTGGCCTGTGCTGGGTGATCTGCTCTGCCTGCACGGCTGCTGAGTGCTTCTGGCTCTGAGAGACAGTAGCCAGGCCCCAGCTGGGGCTGAGCTGAGGTCTGGGAGGGGCGTGGGGAGCATGAAAAGCAGAGCCAGGGACACTGGCCACCCAGGGCGGCTCCGGAAGGTGGGTGGGCCAGCCGTCCGAGGGGAGTGGAGGAAGCCTGGGAGGCAGCAGAGATAGACTGAGAGCTCAGCTCCAGTGACAGGGTGCCTATCAAGTGGTCCTTCGAAACTTTACCATTACCGGATGGGGGGTGAAGGAAGGCTAACTGCTTTAAATTGACAAACTTTACTTAAAGAGGTGGAGACACTGGGCTGGGGATTTAGCTCAGCGGCATAAGCGCCTGCCTTGCAAGCAGGTGGTCGTGAGTTCGATCCCTGGTACCGATAAAAATGAAAAAGACAAAAAAAAAAAAAAAAAAAAAAAGAGGTGGAAACACTTTTACCATTGTTCAGACAATGGCCGAAGTAAAAACATCAAATTCGGTGGTTTTGTGAAGTCATATTGAGAAGTGTCTGTCTTACTGTAAACCTATTTGTGTGGAAAAGAGATGAGAGATTTTACTGATAAGATTTAAAATGCTCCAAAAAGCCTTTGTAAAGAAAGATGGGGCAGGGGCTGGGGATTTAGCTTAGCGGCATAAGCGCCTGCCTTGAAAGCAGGCAGTCATGAGTTCGATCCCTGGTACCGAAAAAGACAAAAAAAAAAAAAAAAAAAAAAAACCAACTCTGTTTTGTGCACAGAATTGCAAAACATGTAATAGTACTTCAGATTTGTGTACATGCTGTATATGAAACAAATGAATTTCATATTAAACTCATGTCTGACACCCTCATACCCAAGATATCTCATTATGTATCTGCAAAAATTCCAAAATTAAAAAAAAAAAGACGGGGCAGGTGTCCTCTCACTGCCAGGGTGTCCCTCCAGGCCTGGCCGGGGCTGTCCTGGCAGTGCCCTGCGCTTCTCTCCTGTGTGTCCTCTGGTCTTCTGCTGTCTCCGCCCTCACTCCACCTTTCTGCCTACCCTCCTCAGTGTCTCCCTCTCCCCCTCTTCCCCGTCAGCCCTGACTCCCCTCTTTTCTCTAATGGTCTTTCTTTCCCTCTGGAATTTTTAAAATACACAGCATGGAGTCCTCACTTCCTGCTTAAAAGAACGCTGATTTCCTTTACCAGCAGCACAGGCTTGTGTATTGTCGGGCAAGATGCTGACTGTTTCTGTCGCTGCAGCTCAGGGACTGTTAGCAGTGGCAAGGAAGTGGGGGCGCCTCAGGCATTAGAAAGAGCTCAACTTTTACTGTGAACAGCAAAGCAGGACTCAAGGTGGGGGGCATTCCAAGTGTGGAATAATGATCCTTGACTGCATAAATCCGGGTTGGTTTGGGCTTATTTTTATGATGCTTGCTTCTTGTTTTGAGAAATATTTTGGCAGTCTTCCAGCCCTTGCAGTGTCTCGGGATCAAATGGTTCTCTTCTTTTGTATGTAGGAAGTTAAGCTTTACTTTCTCAAAGCTCGCCAGTGACTGAAAGGAAGTGATTCCTTCTAATGAGCAGATCAGACCAAATCTTCCAGGAGGCATGTATGGCAACAAGGCAGTTTGGCATCTGCCTGCCGCTGGCCGGGAGAGACAGGTGCTGTGTTCCTGGGCCCTTCTGTTGAGTTTACAATGTTTCCTCACCCCAAGGATCACAGAAATCAGCAGAAAAATGTGTCTAGTAAAGTAAGTTTGTGGCCTGCCTCCCATTTTTTCTCCTTAGTTTTCTGTATCCTTGGAGCACTCTATTTATTTTAAAAATGTTTCCTCCTGTATAGTAATTTGCTCTAGCAGTCCAGTGTGGCGTGTGCCTCCACTTGTCTCTGAGCTTGGTCCCCGTGTGTGTAGGTGAGTACTTCACAGCAGCCGCACTGCGATGGCTGGAAGGGGCAGCTGAAGGCCCATGCTCCGGACAGGCAGCCAGGCTCCTGGAGGAGCTGGCTTGTCTCCCAGAGACCTCTGCAGCCGGCTGGCTGGTCCTCTGCGCTCCCGCAGCGCCGCGTCTTGCCCTCTGCTGATCCACAGCTCCTTCCCATCCATGCCGGCTGCTAATCCTCTGTATCCACCTGCCAACTTTGTACATTCCTCACAATTTATTTATTGTTTTTTGCCTTTATTTTGCTGTACTGGAGATTGAGTCCAGTATACTGAACTACATCCCCAGACCCCTTTTAAAATTTTGCTAAAATTTGTGCTAAGTTGCCCAAGCCCAGCTGAGTTTATGATTTTCCTATTTCACAGCCTCCTGTGTGCTGGGATTACACGCCTAACAAGTTTTGATTCTGAAAACAGCATTCACATTATTCATCATCTTTGTCCTTGTCATCACTGTCAGCATCATCCTGTTACTAGCCAACCACTTTCTCCTACCTCTCTCCATCACTGATTTTCTCAGTCACTAATTCAGAATCACCGTAGGAGACCTTTCGCCTCCCCCTGTTATGTGCTGGGAGGAGACACCTGGGCAGCTGGCTGGTTTAATACCTTACCTTGAGTGAGCAGACTGGGTCAGCTCAGAGCAGCAGTCAGGAGAAAGGCTGGGGCAGTGGACGGTGCTTTCAGATGATGTGTGGCCGGAACCGAGCCTGAGACATGGCCTCCACCATGGTTGGCACACTGCCGGCTTCCAGCGTCACGTGCAAGGTGTGAAGGGTGAATTCCTGCTCAGGAAGTCATCCAGAGTGACAAAATTAAGAAGAGCAGAAAGGGGAAACACAGGTCGGAACCTGAAAAGCAAAACCCCAAATCCTAGATTATTAGGTTTTTAATTAAACATGATGAACACATTTAAATATAACACAAAGGCCCCAAGCCGAACTGTACCTAATCGAAACAGATTAAGTCACCCTTCCACACTTGGGTGGTTATTAATTCTGTTTATTTATGCATGCGAGCTGAAGGTAGCTGCTGTTGTGTTGCTTATTGCACTGGGATTCCGCTGCTGCTTGATGCTGTGCTCTTAATTAGCATTCAGCTGTTGATTATGGAAATGCTGGAGATGCTAACTGAATTCCTTTTAAAATTCAGGGCCTGCGTTTTCCTTGTGGAGTTGGGGCTGACTCCCAAGGTGGTAAGTCAGGGTGCTCCACTGGGCTGTGTGTTTCACCCTTTGCTTCCTATCCTGTGGCCATGTTTGGTTTTTATAAATTACGTTCATGTTGAATTAGCTTTCAACAAAAGTCCAGATGTTGTTGCACAGGTGCAGGTTTTGTTGCTGACAGTGTTACACAGGGTATCCCTATTTCATCTTGTGTAACTGTGGTTTTTGTCTTGAAATATGCCACACATTAAATATTTTGTACCAATTTTGATGTAATATATTGAGGTGAACAACCTGGGTACAAATAATAAGCTCTGAAAATTTCATTCAAAAATAGCTAATCCACAGTGGTGATAAACCTTAATTGACCATATACATGGGTTTATTTACAAGTTCATAAATTTTAAAACATCAGAATCTTCCCTCAATTTAAAGCTCAGTTTATCATAAATGTAAATGAAAACCCTTCCATCAGAATTGACATGACACGGCAAACTAATTTTCTGAGTATTTGTCATCCAGTGAACCCATGAGCTGGCTGAGAAATTACTCTCGCAGAGTACACATAGCTGTTTACGTGGTGTCCTCCCCCAGCATGTCTTCTGCTGCCTGTGTTGTGCCCTTTTTGGAATGCTGTTTGAGAAAACGTTGTTTTCA